TGTTGACCCTCCTCTTTATAGACTGGACACTGGTTCAAGTGAGACACATTTTATTTTACCTCTCTATATGTCATGTGTCTCTTGAAAAATAGCCATTTTCTTATAATGAGTATCATTAATATAACTATCAAAACTGAAAATGATTAGTTGGTTTTGTCTAGTCCATATTCATAGATTTTTAATTGTCTAATATGTCATTTCAGGGTTTTATTCAAGTCGGGCTCCAAACAATACATCTACCATGCATTTGGTTGTATCTTTTAAACCTTTCTTTGTTCATTGACATGCTAAGGAAGCCAGGTTCAGGGTCTCACCCAATGTCCCATGCTTTGGACTGTCCACTTCCTGTTGTCCTCTAACACACTTTCCTATTTCATATGCCATGGACTTGCTCTCTAAAGACTTAGATGCATTCAGGTTTCCAACCAGAATCTTAGGTGATCTGTGTTTACTATTTGAGTGGAACCACTGGACTGGACTGAGGGTGTCACCCACAATGTTGCTAAGATTGATAGTGTTCAAAGGAAACTAACATCCACCTTTTTCTTTTCTTTCTTTCTTTCTTTCTTTCTTTCTTTCTTTCTTTCTTTCTTTCTTTCTTTCTTCTTTCTTTCTTTCTTTCTTTCTTTCCTTCTTTCCTTTCTCTCCCTCCCTCCCTCCCTCCCTTCCTAGACAGTCTCTCTCTTAAGAATTACATTTATTTATTTAATTGTGTGTATATCTGTGTGGGTATTTGCCTGCTGTAGCACATATGTGCTGGTCAGAGGACAACTTTTGTGAGGGATTGAACTCAAGTCATCAGGCTTGATGTAATCACCTTTACCTGCTGAGCCATCTTGACAGCCTGAAATAGTCTCTTGATGTAGCCTAAGTTGCCCTTGAACTTGTACAGCCCAGGCTGGTGTCAAACTTGAGATCCTCTTGCCGCAGCTTCCTGAGAGCTAGGCTTAGAGTTGTGTGCCTCCATGCTTGGCCCCATCTTTTCAGAGTAGTTGATGCTCATTCATTGGTGATCTTTGCCTCAGCCAGCTGCTTCATTGACAGTTGGAGAGTGAGATTTCTGTCATTCTTCTATATTTATGAGCTGGAAATCTAAACAGTGTCTCCCACATCAGCATAGCTATTGGGAGGTAGAGGCAGGAGGAGCAGGAATTTAAGGCCAGCCTGTAAATAAATCTGTAGCAGTTAATTGTGCCTCTTGAAGTAAGTGCAGATGAATGAGGCAAATGATTTCAGAGAGTGACTGCAGGTGATTCTTCTTGCCTGCCATGAGTCCTATGGCATGGAGAGAAGGGAAGCTTCTGTACAAGCAGGGGGGAGGCTGTGGGAGGATAGGGTGGTACTTGAGGAGGGAGAGGATTCAGTATCTGAGCGGCAAGTTCTTTTCTTCCCATCTGTTTCAGAGTGGCAGTCAGATAAGCCTCTGAGCCCCTGTGTCTGTGTTTTCTTACTGCAGACAATGGGACTGTGATGTTGAGATGCTGGAGCGCTATCGCCAGGCCCTGGAGGCAGCTGTGAACCTCTCTGTGAAGCACAACCTGTCCCCACTGCCAGGCCGCACCCTCTTGGTTTATCTGACAGATGCTGGTGCAGATAGGCTCTATCCTAAGAGTAATGTACAAGGGGTAAAGAAACAAAAGCCCTCTTCCAAGAGGTTGGCAGGATGCTGGGGTCTTGAGAGGTTTTTGTTTCCAGACCTGGTTCTCTGAGGGACACACAAGCTAAAATAAGTGGCATGGATTTGCTTCTTGGTTCCACAAGGGAAATTCTAGTCAGTTTTTTAATGAACTATAATGCTAACATTTCACATTTGGCTAGTACTTAACAATTATCTCTAAATTTCTGTCACCACAAATACATCTCACATTCGCTTTACTGTGTCCCAGTATTGAATTTGGGCAGGGATTCTGGCTTCCCCCAGCTGCCCTTCCACTCAGCTTTTCCTGAGAGCTGCTGAAGATGATCCCTCTGAAGAGACCCATCATCCCTTTCCCATTCCCCCAAACCAGGGGAGGAGTTTGGCTTCCAAGCTGATAGGCAAGGACGGGTTCCGTAGGGAGACTTTTCTAAGCCTGACGCTTTGTCCCTTCAGCCCCCACTGAACTATGTGCTGCTGTTGATTGGAATGATGGTGGCCCGGGCCGAGCAGGTGGACGTTTTGCTGTGTGGAAGAGGAACTGTGAAGACTGCAGTGCTTAGGGCAGATGAAGGTATCCTGAAGACTGCCACCCAGCTCCAGGCTCAAGTCCAGGTCAGAAACCTGCCCCTACCATCCAGAAATATGTGAATGATACAGGCCTGGGAACATCTCACATAACTAGTAAAGGCATGAATAGTCAGGTATGGTGGTGCACACCGATGACCCCAGCACTTGGCAGCAAGCTGAGGCAGGAGAAATGCAAGCAGAAGGCCAGTCTGGGTTATATAGAGAGTTCAGGGCCAGCTTGGGATGCATAGCTGTATGCTTTTGTTTTGTTTTGATTTTTCAAAGAAGCATACAGTATATACACAATTGGTGCTGCTTTCTTATTGGTTGTGTTAGTCTTTCAGTGTTATAATGAAACACTAGAGGCAAGCTAACTTTACCAAGAAAAGAGGTTTGTTTTGCTCATGGTTCTAGAGGTTTAGGGGCATGGCACTGGCATTAGCTTCACTCCATGATCTCATGGCAGAGGGGGTGCTCAAGAACACATCTGGAAGGAAAGGAAACCAGAGAGTGATTCATGGGTCAGGTTAGGTTTTTACAATAATTTATTTTTACAAGAAGTCAGAGGTATGAAGGAATGACTTTTACAATATAGACATAATCAGGACTAAAGACTTGTACCTAATGTAGCCAAAAAGTTACTGTTTATAATGTAAACAAGCTCACAAAGTGATCTCTTGTTACCTAGGCATATGACCTTAATCCCTCAGGATCCCTCTTTGCCCCTCACCCAAGATATTGTAAGACAGAGTATAAATGTGGGTGTGCATGCTTTACACATCAAAGCACTGAAAGCCCCATGTGCTTTTCTCATTGCAAACAATGAGAGAAACTGAGTGTGTGTGCTATTCTAGGGATCAAAGGGTGAGATTCTCTGATAAAATAATGGTGGGTCCTGACTTCTACTTTCCCATTCCATGCTGGAGAAACTTTTTCAGTAAAAAATGAGCAAAGCCGTTGCTGGGGAGCACAGTTCTGAGAGGCATCTGAAGGAACGGGTGCTCAGGTCTGCTCTTGGCCTTAAAACAGATGCTAAGAGTCAAGCTGTTTCTTTATTAAGGCATGGCTGAAATGTGACTTAGAAACACTGCAACCTTAGACTCTTCCAAGGGCCTGACGACCTAAGGGCATCTCATTAGGCCCTACCTATTAATACCATGGTTCAGCTGAGTCCCTCCTACTACCTCACAGTGGGGCTCAACTGTCAATACACGAATCCTTGGGGGATATATTCAAGCTATAACCAGACCAGAGCATTTATATCTCATGTGCAACCATATAACCCAAGTTTCTTTCCTTCAGGAGTTGGAAGAACAGGATGAATGGTCCCTGGACACTTTTGGGAAGTACCTGCTGTCTCTGGCTGTCCAAAGGGTCCCTGTGAGTCCAGTTTGGTCCCTGTGTGCCACACATCCAGCTGCTTCTCATTTCTTGACCCTTCAAAGCTGATCTTTTATACTCTGTGTGGTGATTTCGCCAGCTCCCTCCTTGCTGCAGTCCCTCAGACAGGGATGCGCTGATAAGTCTTTAATGATAAATGGGAAAAAAAGAATGTTGGTTAATGTTTGCCAGTTTCCATGGTGCAGATTGTTCCACCAAGGCAGCTTTCAAGCCACCAGCCGTACATCCCTGCATACAGAGCTGTGAAGACTGCTCAGCAGCATACCACTGCTAGTATTTCCACAGTATTGATAGAGATGTAAATAAACTCAAGATTAGAAAGTGGGACTCTGTAATGAGATAATTAGAAAGGGTTAAGTTTTGAGAATATATTACTTTTGTCTTAAAATATAATTTTTAAAAGTGTAGTTGGGGGTGGAGAGATGACTCAGTGGTCAAGAGCAGCCTTCTTGCAGAGGACCCAGGTTCAGGTCTTAGCGCCCACTTGGTGGCGAACAACCATCTGTAACTCCAGTTCCAGGGGGATCTGATGCCCTCTTCTGGCCTCCATGGGCATTACATGACACAGGTGCACTTACATGCAAGAAATACACTCATACACATAGAATGAAAATTAATAAATAATGGGGGCTGGAGAGATGGCTCAGCAGTTAAGAACACTGGTTGTTCTTGCAGAAGATCTGGGTTTGAATCCCAGCACCCACATGGCAGCTAACAACTGTCTGTAACTCCAGTTCCACAGGATCTGATAGCCTCTTCTGTCCTTCATGGGCATTGCACAACATGGGTGCACTTACCTACATGCAGGCAATACACTCACATACATAAAATAAGGCTGCCCAAGATTTATC